TGCATTATAGATAGGCAAGATGTGAAAAGAAAAAAAAAAGGCATGAGAAAAACATTGCTTTACAAACCTTAAGACTTAATAAAAACTTAGATATTCTGCATATGAAAGCATTGTAATGTTTGCTGATAATCTGCCAAATGGCATTAACATTTGGTTACTAATTTAAAAGTTATAGCATGAAAACTATAACAAGAACAAAATGGTTATGAGGTCAGTCCTAGGGATCGAGCCCGGGTTGAAAGAGTTAACTGAGAAGTGCCTTTATAAGGCTGTATGTGTACTATATTCATTTATGATATTTTTTAACCTACAAATTATATTATTGTGCAGAATTTATAAAACTAGTTTAAATTTCATGTTTATTAAGCTGTACTTAAAAATTTAGTTTATTTGGTTTCTATATAAGATGCAAAAGGAACTAAGTTTTTTTTCAGTTTTTCAAATTTTAACCATCTTAAGCCAATTTGAAAGCTTCTGGAATTTATGAAAGAAACATCTATATTAAAAATTTGTTTTAAGTTCTGAGCATTTTCTAAAAAAGAAATGGAAGAAGAAAGTGGTTATGTGTATTTAACAATGAAATAAATAAATGGATGCTCTTAAGAAATCTTTTTAGGACTTATTTTCCAATCACTCTTTTGTGCTTTAAACTCCGAATGCAATGTAAAATGCCTCAAACATTTAAAAACTTGACTATAGATAATGACTTGTTTCCTTAATGAAGAGCCGTAGTGTGTCATTTGATCATTATCTCATATAATAATGAGTTCTAATAAAAAACAGAACAAGTTAGATTTATTCTGAGAATCAGTATATGTCTGTCACTTAAACTGTCTTGTAATAATGTTTTTTTCTCCATATTTATCTCAGCCAGAATATAAGCTAGCAGATCCTATTTGTACATTCATCTTCTCTGTTTTGGTGCTTTTTACCACCTTAACAATTATGCGAGATGCTGTCCACGTGCTTATGGAAGGTTAGTGACTCATGTTTGTGTTTTTTAAATCGTACTGCATGTTGATTAGTTGACTTTTTAAATGAACATCACCATGTGGTGGTATTATAGAAAAACAGCTTGTATTTCTGTAAATGAATGCTATCTACTAGTTCCAAAATTTGTAAATAACTTGTATATAATTATTTTTATGGAATTTCTTTTCGTTTGTAAGTACATGTATTAAATAAGGAAATTAACCCCTGTCTAAAACTTTGAATCCCTGTATGAGTGCATTTTGAGAGGGAAAGTTACCAAATACCAAATTTTCAAATGAGTAACTTTGTATTTGCGTATGGAGTTCAGAATCAAATTCACATTTGATGAATTTTATACTCGTTATATTTAGGTTTTCATGCCACAGACTCTCAACTGACGATCTGCACAGAGTTTTGGAAGGGTCCCTGAGAACCCGATAGCTTTTGTATATAACTTAAACTATGTGGTTTAGTCTATTGTTACCACTAAATCTGTAGTTTACTCAACACAAGCAGATTTTATCAACATGTTTGCTATACTTGTTTGTCAGCATTCAATTTGTTGGACAATTTGTTATTATAGACTTGATGTTACAACAATGAGGAATCATCTGTCTTTCATGTGATTAAATTATTTTGATTTATGTTACCTTGTCTGTTGGAAGAGATTAGCAGTAAATACTTGTTGTTGTGGTTGTTAACTTTGGATGTTATCCTTTGTTATTTTTCAAAACAAAAGCAAAAAAAAAAAACAACTGCATTTTCTGTTATGTTTAAATAGACCAATATTGTTTTATGTTTGTTTGTGTTTTGTTATAGCAAAGTTACAATGGACTTACTGCTGTCCCACTGGAGGACAATGGTTTGTGTATTATAGTCTTGGAATGACTCAAATTCTGTCTGATCAAATATGTACCTTGTTATAAGACTTGCTTTATTGATATTGATTTGAAGGAATTAAAATTCCAGAAATATAATAGTTTATACCTGTATAATTTAGAATTTTGTTCATGAATAACCTGTAAATGACAATAATACGCTTCTTGGACTATGCATCATATACAGTTGTGTGCTGACAAGCTCTTTCAGAAACTGT